GTTTCTTTATTTACAAGGATTGAACAGAACAGACGTTTATGTTGTGTCAAATGCCTGTTTTGCTTGGTTTGAACAAGCACAAAGTCGAATGGCATGGTCACGTATCAGACGATACGAAAGGGCTATCAGTTTTGCCCAGTTCTGCATTGGCAAAAGTGTCTGGCCCAGGTACATTTTCTTACTAAGTTCCGTGTGAAGCGGAAAAAGATGAGGTTATGAGAACTAAGTACTAAGAAATAATGACTATGTACTAATGAATTGAATATGTGGTATATTAGTGTTTATGGTGAATTCAAAAGTCTACACGTTTTTTGCCTTGATTGGGATCTTTTCCTTCTATGGGTTAAGGAAACTGTGGAGCAGAGGCGCCAGTTTGTGAACCCCATGGCAAACTGTATTACTGAATTCACCACCCGTACGTTTGTGAAATGCAAGAAACTGTACGGTATACAGCCTAAAGTAAAGGGTCGTGTATACAAGCTATCAGCAGCATAGGCTAAAAACGAACAGCGACCTAAGTTTTGTCATTAAACTCCTGGTGTCAATTATCTGCTAGAAAATCATAAGGGAAACATGTCCATTCGTTCCAGCTAACAAATAAATTTTGGAATTTGGCATATTTCACTGACAAACAGAGAAGGCAGTGAGAAAGCGTAAATAGTTTAAATGCAATTACGTTCCAAGCGTAGCCATCCCTTCTTGCTTGCGGGCGCACAGAACAGTACACAAACCGAATCCAGCATTTTCAGCCGAGGATCGAAAGGTCAGCCAGTTATGCACACAGTTTGCATTGTTTTTATATCTAAGTTATGGTTAAATTAAAGGATGTTAGAAGCTCACACGGGTTTTTAAATACAATATTTGTGTGGTTTTTGGAACACAGTCTTCAGTTTTCTCAACAGTTCACATAGTGTGATAACCACTGGCTAATGATGTGGAAACTACTAGGTGTATAATTTGTGCAGGATATATCTCAGTATATCGACTTCAATGTTTGTCTGTATTTAAGAGGTGTCTAGAGTAGGTCCCAGAGCTAAGTTGGTTTATGTCTAAATGTGACATTTTGAAGGATTAAGGACTATCCCAACCACAGTCGTAAAACTCGGAGTGTTGGGAACCCGCAGAGCTACTCCAATTAATAATAATGTAGCATTCTTTTTCAACAAAACAGTACTATTTTCACAGAAACATACCATAATAACCCGACGAAAAACTACGAAGACAAACTAGGATTCACGATAAAGCAGATTTAAGGGTAGGCGGTCTTCTCAGATTTTCTGAACTGCTTTTGAAGTGGTTAGTTTTGAAAGAAAACATCTGATGTTATGTTGCAACATTTGTGAGGAATTGGAAATATAACATAAGGCATAACTTGTTTGTGGCCCACAGTATACAGATGTCGCTGTCACATTTCTCATTGCTTTGTGCCATAATTACCAGCCGAGCCTTCATGCCACTGAGGAGTTATGGGTTTGCAGTTGTCCGTGAGTAGGTCAACATTTCACCCAAAGCGTGAATAATTTGAAATTTTAGCGCGCACAAGTTTTTACTGAGGCATGATTCACAGCAGGGGTTCAAATGACTGCCTTTCTACTTTATTTTATTTATGATAAGAAGTGGTATGTCTACTCGGAAAATGCACATATTCCTGCTGTAATAGAGCTAGGGAATCAAAGTTGACTTTGGGGTTTTGCCTCATTTCGACTTGATTCGTGCATCAGCATCACAACTGTACCTTGATGTTTCATCTTTGGTTAGACAAAGCGCTTGTAGATGGGACGGTAGTGAAGGCTAAGGGATAAGGCTCTGGTTAGATAACAAAACAATCCAGATTACAATGCAGTGGGAAAAAGACGAATCAAAGGCGTTTTGGAGAGAGTATTATGCATCCTTATTGTCTGTAGTTTGAAGTGAAACAAAGACAGCACTTATAAGGCCTTTGAACAATCGCAATAGGGAAGCTTTGTCTTTGAATGGAACAAAGAAAATAATTGTTTCATAGAGAGCATAAGTATTTTTAGTGCTTTTCTACCAGCCACATCAGGCAATGCTTCCAGAAGCAAAAAGCGGAGCAAGTGGTTTGAATAATACATGTTCAAATGGACAGTTTTGAAAAATATTTTCAAGCATGTGAGAATTCTAACAACCTATTCGGAAGGCCTTTATTATGAAATAAATCCAGTGAAGGCGGTGGCATATTCAGGAAGTGGCTTACAGTATTGAGAAAAACCAAAGCAAAGGTACACTGAAACTCCAAATCTCGGGACTTTCGGTCTAACAAGCAACACACGAAAAACGCATTCAAACGTTTTTCAGATGTGCAGACTATTGCTTTCATATTTTTCAAACGTCTGCGCTGTACAGTTGCCTAAGTCACATAAAGAGCACAAAGACTGTATTCTGAGGGTGATTTTTGGAAGGTATCGATGTGAACTGAACGACCGAACTAATAAGGAGAGCCGACATTTAACACACCAAAAGCATGACGATCAGTTTGATCACTAATGGGCCACTGACCAGCCCCATTTGTGTTATATGATGATGTGTTATAGCTTCCCAGTTAGAATCAGTCAACTCCAACATGGTTCTTTTGTAATCCGCTGGCCTTGTAATGGTGGATGACCCACTGCGAAGTTCATGGCACATCTAAACGCTCTCCGTGCGAAATGTTCTTCGTTACTTTGAGAGATGCAAAAATATTGCTCTTGATAAAGGAATTCCAGAAATCCCATTGAATGGTCACCAGTTCACCTCACTCCATAATCTTCCAAAACACACTTCCCCAGTGTGGACTAATTTGTCCACATTCATTTCGTGAGCAGTCCTTCGAACTTAGTCGATTACAAACCATTAACTACATAGAGCAAACGTCCTCCGAAAGAGGGAAAAACTACGAAACTTTAAGCGCAATCTACATTGGTAATCTTGGGTTTGAGACCAATACACGCAAAATAACATATCGTGATTTTTACACTGCCAGTTTAATTTGTTCATTTAGCCTCTTTCACTCTTTGAACTTAACAAACGACCCCGTGTAGCTGCCATAGTTACTTACTAGATTAATGGAGTCGCTTCTGTGCTCAACAATAAGAAACTCGATAAATTGCTTCACACACGGAATTGCCTTAAAGATTTGCTTTCCACAATCACGTTGGAAGACTAAATATATATAGGGTAGAAGTGACAGCATCGCTCGAACGTGAAGTTAGGTAAATTGTTGTTTGTAAAAGCAGGCAGATAGATTTCAATGAAACTCGAACAAATCACGGCCCACGAACCACAACAGCTCTTTTGTTTCAAAATAATAATTCAGTCTTTTCTATGCATCAGACTAAAAACTAGGTGGAAATAGAACGGCCATTCTGTGAATTTGAGTAGTTAGATGAAAGCAGGTGTCGGTAAATCCACATTACGATGTAGAGGATATGACTGATTTCTCACTGAAATAGACTATCAAATGGTTAGCATTTTATATGTGAAGTGTTCAAACGATCGAGACATTAAGTGAGCAGTCATCTGTGCGAAATAGAATTTCACTGTTCAAAACGTCTTTAAATGCATTAGGAATAGTCCCGAAATTTGTGGAAAAAATGAGGACGACAGGCACAATTTTTGCTGCAATATGTTTATCACATTACTCTGAATAATTTCGGGACCACAGCTCTGAGAATACCACTGCACTCAGTAAAAACGCTAACAGGCTGGATCAAAAAATGACATGGTGAATGTTTTCAGTTTCGCTCACTTACCTTAAGTGCTCACCAATACTGCCGCCAATATCGATCCACGAATCGTCCCATATTGCGTGCATTACAACTTGACCATACGTCCTAACAGCCGGTCAAGACGTTTCCGAAAAATTCACATACACAGCTTTTCCGAAAACCTTTGCATGATTTCTAATGTCCAATGCGTCTCAAAACATCATTTCTGTATTAAGAAGCCGCGAAACATAACAGTTTGCACATCCCAAATACCATCACTTGAATCATCTTGATTAGAAGTCAGTTGTAAAACCTTTTGTTGTAACTATCGTTTTGGCAACCCAGTGGTCAGCCTGAAACCTTAACTGAAAAGCTATGGACGAAAAGGCAAGGCTGGTGCAAAGAAATGTGTCATCCACAAAACAGAGCCATTAAGATACGAAAAACCATAGTGATATTAGTAGTGGTAGTATTATTGGTTCGTGTGATTAGGTAACCGGAAATGATATCCCCAGGGCTGCTAATACAAAAGAGTACTTTCTAGGGGATAACTTTTGGCTAGGACCAGCCAAGACCCATAAGCACAATTTTAGGACAGAGAAACCTGAGGTTTTTAGTAAGTTTCCTTTGAGTGAAAAGATGAAACCTTCACAGTGGACAATAATAGCGGCTGTTTTTTTTCTGCACCTCTTGTTGTGATTCGTAAGCTTACAGTATAACCCTGGTGGATACCGCAAACACTTCCGTAAACATCAACATGATCGTACGATGAATCAGCTTTTGCAAGGTTCGGGGACTCTGGGTGAACAGATTCACGAATTGCAAATTAGTGCTACCCTTGAGATACTCATACACTTCTAGCGTACCGAATTTCCCCGACAAATGACAACCATTTCCGAGCAGCCTGCATTTTTATGTGGAAAGAAGGCGAACGAGTTCTTGGTACATCACCCGAATAGATCGTTCATGGTTGGATTACTCTCACTTTTGGTTTGTAGTGTTACCGGTTCAGCAAAATCCGAGGAGACAAATGCACCCATTCTTTGAGAAATTTCTCACCACCCAAGATAGGTTTGTAAATATTTTAAAGTGTCTGACTCATACACTTGCGAAAAATATGAAATGTTTGCGGTTTGTGAGACTAAGTGTATGAGACATCTCGCCACACATAATGAACCGATTAGGATGTATTTTAATTCTGCGCAGCTCTGTCTAGATAAAATTCTACGACATTATGCACAACCAGATTGGTATAATTTCAGGCTATGATCGTCCTTTTCTTGTCCTCTAATTTAGCCGAGGACGAACAAACGCGGGCACTAACAGTGGAGGTTAACAACATGAAGTTCAACCTGGAACTTTTTGACACAAATCTTATGGAAGATGATTTTCAGACTAATGCTGCCTCACTGGTAAGTCTAATGTGTTCGCAAGACCCCAGCTAAATCAGTTGCTGTCATGTTCACACCTACAGAAAAAAACGGACCTCCGCGCAATTGAGATGACTTGTCACACAATTTCAAAACTTTCAATTTTGGCGTGATCTGGAATATATAATTATAACAGCATGTTTCAATGCTAATTAAAATTCGGCGCAAAATTTTCATGTAGACCAACCAGGATAATTGTGCTGGAAACATAACGAATTCAACAAGTTTAAACATCACTATTGCGTCCGTTCCGATGATTGTTTCACCACTTTAATGCGTATTTTGTAGTTTTAAAACATGATTATAGTCCACACGGCGGCGTTCACCGATAGATCGGCTTCACACAATGGTGTGGTTGCCTTCCTCGATGTGTTTTAAAGAATGAGAAACGGTTGCAGACTTTGTGGCAAACTTACAGGTACATGTATGTTGTAACCCTAAATAAGCATGGGACTAATACTTTCAAAGAATTCTGGATTCGGGCAAGTCAAGGAGCAGGGAAGCAACCGGGTACTAAAAAATGGTGACGGTAAATTATACATGTGCACGTATGTACATATTTGCCGTATAACTGGCAGTAAACGCCTAACTGCCACAAATCTCTTAGTGTGCACAATCCATCCGCGAGAGTGCGCGCCTTCACAAAAGCAGTACGTTTAGCTCAGCTGTAAGAATACTCAACAGGCTCGTTCTGTCGACCAAATACGCAATCACGCTCGCTTAGATGAAAGTTCCTTATGCCAGCATCCTCTGTTATGTGGATGCTTCGTCACTTAGGCTGAATCGATGAACGTTGATTTTGGGTCATGCGCGTTAGCTAATGCGACCTATGATTAACTTGAAGTTGATTTGACACTCAGAAAACCAGGTCAAAGCAATCGATAGCTGAGATACTCCTTCTTGCGGCATGACAATTCTGAAGCCTTGTAGGCCACTACAAAATTGTAATTGTGCGGTGAAGGCATTTCTAAGGATAGTCATTTGTCGAATTTTCGATCTCGAAAACAGTTCTATAATTTCAATGTAACGTGCATGAGGATATTTCTGGTCGGCGTTGACACGATATACGATTGTGATACACAATTGGGTCTGAGATAACAAGCCACTATGGTTCGAGGGCCAATAGTATGTCGCAATCTTATGTCGTCCTGTAATGAACCAGTAGGCCGAATGCAGCCAGCAAAAATTCAGCAAAGACCGTTTTACACGATCAAATTGATAAACTGACCTGTTGCATCTCTTGGAATAGTTTAACCACCATAAGGAGGATATATATCCTTCTCTAAAGTGAGCATGTGATAAAACGCGGAGTTTGGAGGGCAAAATCTAGTAAGTAAATATATTCGTAACTCATGCGCTTGTAAAATTTCAAACTTGAGGTAGCAAAAATAGTGGTTGTTTAGTGCATAGTGAAACCATGCATCATTCTTCCAGAATGTCTCTGCCAACGTTACAGAGCAATCCATGTATTTACGCCTTCTTAACATTAGGTAGCCAGACGCCAGGGCGTTTTCTTAGGTACTATAATTTCCATGGAACTTGCGCTTCAAAGATCCAGCGAGAACCTCTTTTCCGTATCCAAATGACGAAATTCTAGATCACAGTCACTGTACCGCATTTCAACTGGCGTATGAACTGCGATGGCTGACACAAAATTACTGCTAGCCGTTGATCAAATTTTGTGAATTCTTGGTTTCAACTACAGATTAGTCTGTCTACTTTGAGAGCACTTGCAGCCGACCACTCGGAGCAGGAGAAGCAATACAGGTTGCCTGTGTTATGGTTTGTCACAGACGCTCAATTCTGGGAGGATAGTCACACGCCCTACTTTCATCGAGTACCTAAATGATTAATGGGTTGATTTTGTCGCACTTAGCATTAGATCCTTCCTTTGTTATTATACCCTGGAGGATAGTTGCTGACTTTAAACACAACGATAATTAGGCTGGACAGCGCAAATAGACCAAACTGTTTGGAGCATCGTAACTCTGATTCAAGAGTAATCTAAGCATTTTGGAGTATCAGAGAGGTGTCTGGTGGAACTTTTGCTGGATTTTCTAAATTGTATCAAAAAGCTTTGTAACTAATCGTATGACGTAACTTTACTTATTCATTCCTCATTTTAATTTGGGGGACAGTGAACGTTATCTTTGTAAATTTAGATTTTCAGACTAAAACACGTGTGAAGGAAGTCACGACATTCAGGTTGAGTCAAAGAGTAAGAATACGTAAGCACCAGCCGATTTCCGACCATAAACATGATGACAGTTTTGAGGGACATAAATGGACTGAGTCGTTGTTTTTCTCCTCTGTCCTTAATTGTCATGAGCTAATCGGCAGTTTCATAGGTGATACATGTAATTTTGTTTGTGTGGTCACACTCACTCGAGAGTCAGTATTTCAGCTCAGAAAATTCCATCAGAATAAAACTTCTATGATAAGGTTAGGTCTGATAACCGTCGTCTTTCAGTTTATAAATTTGTCTATCTGAAGAGTGTTTGAGCCTACCTAGTAAAAAAGATTGTAGAATAAAATGGTGCTCCTTCAAACTGGTCTTTGCCACACCGAATATCTTCGCCAACAATCACAAAACATTCACCTTCAAAAATTTCAAAATTCTTTCAAAAAACAGTTTTGGGCAGCTACCTCATTGAATCTATATATTTACTTATGTATTTAGAGAAACACAATTCACCACAATTTATGTGAAGTTGTATAAGCTAAGAATTTTCTAGCACGTTTGTCATGGCAATCGATTATTCCCTTATAATTAATTTTTCTCCGGAAGGCTGTGACGTGAACTCATAACAATGTGCGTGACTTTACATATTCACGTAGATCGTTGAGTCGGCTGACGCCTACGTTGTAGTGTATGCAATCGATGACCGTTCTTCCTTCCTCATGGCACGATCTATTGTGAGCTATCTACTTGGTCAATGCAAACGTTCCAGTGCAATACTGCTTGCTGCTAACAAATCAGACCTGGTGCGGACGCGAGCGGTTTCAGTGGAGGGTAAGTCGCCTATATTGTCACAGAGGAAGTAGCAAATTTGTTCGTCGAAATCAGACACATGTTGTTTTTTGTTTGATACTGTTTTACGGGTACATTCTCCAGCCCCTCTAAGGAGAGGATATCCCTAGAAAACAACACTACTCGCTGCTCGTTAAAGCTACTCCTTCGTTGTAAAGGAAGTGAAGAAGACGCATGGGCAGAAAAAACGAGTACCATAAAATTTCTGACAGATCGCAACATTTCTTTTTATTATAAATTCACATAGAGCGAATGTTTTTCATCCACGTTCTAGATCTGAATACTTTCATCTGGACAAAAATTATCCGTGCGCATTCGTGCGGACACCGTATTTTGCTCCCTTTTGTACTCATACAGCTCAGTCAGCACATTTTAATACACCCGGTCGTGGAGATTTGAAGTGGTGGTCTTTAGACTTGTAAGAGTGTGCTGTTCTGAAATCATGTGTGTACTCTTTTAAATCCATGCATCCTTAGAAGAAAATCACTTGGCTCACTCAAGGTATGGTTTGCTGTTCAGATAAAGTGACATGGTTGATTGTGTAAAAGTCTGTTAAGCTATAAGCATATGTTGCGCCATATCATCTTTAGAGCAGCAAATCACTTAATTTACTTCTAGATTTTCTCTCACTTCAGAACTGTTGTAACACTCATTGTCCATTAGGCATCCAGAATAACTGTCTGGACACTAAGTACTTTTGTCGTAACTGTGAGATGATTTCAAATACATTATCAGTAAAAGCCAGCACAATGAAGCGCTTGGACAGCGGTCCCAATCTCAAACGCCGATTTGTGCATTGGAATAACAGGGAAGTTTTTACTGTCGTTTATTCCCACAGTTTGGCAGATTTTCCGGGTGTCAAAGCGCGTCAAATCCATAGATTACAATTATCTCCCCTCAAAATTTAACCTCCATTTTGTTATCTGGGGCCATAACTCATAGCAAAGTGCGTTTGAAAATCTTTGCGATTTCTTCTCATGTTAACCGTATGAATCCTCAAGCATTCGAGACTCTGAATCAAGCAGCTGGATACTCCAACTCAAAAAACAGGATGGTAATTGCAGAAGAATTATCAAGTATCTTTTTGAAGCACAAAAATCCTTATATGTCTTCCTAGTAAAATGATATGACAATTTTCATATCATGGTCCACGAGGTTCGTTTTACCTTCTCATTTACGATGAGGTGAGCCAGACTATCTTAATGTGGATTCCCACAAATTTTGTTTTCATTCTTAAAATTATCAAACATTCACTTAGATAAAGTCTTCCTGGTTTGTGTCAATAATTGAATTTAGAAGATACCACAAGTATGGAGTGATAAACTGATTTTTCGGTCGAATTGCATTAGAACCGAGCAACTCAATCAAAGACACTAGCTCCAGCATGAAATTGTTCCAGCTGGTTCTCTACATCATTTTCAGTACAGTGGTTACCTCCGCAAAAACCGGTTATACGTCTGTTTCAAACTGCCGGTCATTATTTTGTGGCAACATTGCGAATGCACACAGAATTTGACTCAGGTCACATAAAACGTTGCTTGATTTTGCTGATGCAAAACTCCATATATGTAGTGAGTGCCTAAGTATCCGTCGCTGCGGAATGTGGACCGACGGGACCACAATTCGTAATACTCTACTTCTTTGACGGTATCGCGTTACTCGTCTGTCCATCTCTATGGACTGGGGAGTGTGTTTGATCGGTCCTGTTCGACCTCCAAAGAGTGGCTGTTTTGCCTTTGCATACTTCCTTCCTGGAACAATCAAGGATGACAAGAGATGCATTTTTGCGCCTCCGATCTTATATGGTCTGGTGGGGTAGATAAATCTGCAAATGTGCTTCCGATTGGCCGGTATAAAATGGCTTGCATGTAACGGCAAAAAATCAAGGTTCTATGGGTGTGGAATCGTCCTGGATGCACGGATGGCAAAAATTGATAAGGCTTTCTCCAACGTAATGATGCCAGATTTACCTCTAGAAAATTTCAAAAGGTCAAACCAAGCCTGTAAACTGACAGAGTTGCAATTCATCGTCTGTCTGAAACAGGCCGGACAAATTGCGCAGTCGGACAAATGTGGGACCGTTCGGGTCCCGTTAAGGTTGAGGTCACCAGTTTTCCTGGTTTGCTTCCTAGTTAGGCACATGTAAGCTAGTTTTGGTAGTGATAGCCTGTAAACTGGGAAAATATTCCTGCAGTCCCGCTAACAGTAGTCTGTGTATCACAAGACGCACATATTTCATCGCTGACGCACTAAAGCTGCCTTGACTCCCGTTAGGACCAGCGGGCACACAAAGCATTCACTCGGTCATTTTTACCTGCATTACGCTGACCATGTTGGGCTTGCCGATGATACTGACTGGCGCCAATCTTCGCCAGAAACCGGCGGGAAAATTCAGCACCCATCATCTAAGAGATAAGTGTTGCTTCATTAGCATGTATTCGACGGTATTTTCTATTCTATTTACACCTGAGGCCCAACAGTCTCTCCGGTGTACTGGTTCCATCTGCGACAGCTCCATCTTGTTGCTTACTGCCGACGTTGCTCAGTAGTATAAAAGCGCCGTTTGGAAGTTCTGATCTCTTAGTTCACTCAGGCTAACCTGTGAGCTATCGAGTCAGCACCGAGCAGAGGTCTCTGCTATTTCACCAGTACTGGGCCTCTTTCGAGAGTGAGCTAAACAAAGTGAATTTGCACCAATTCATCCATATATTTGTCTGAAGTAAGCCTTTGTTGAAGCAAACAATATCTGTAGCTTTGTCTACTTGATGTCGATTTTCAGAATCCGGCATATGCCGCCAGCTTCCTTGACAGCCCAGGAGCCGTGAGAAGCGGAGGTTTAAATATTGCGTTGGTAATACTATTATCTTGTGTAATTATCACGTTTTGATGGCTTTACTTAGGCCTGTAGCAGTAAAAAAAAACCGTCCAGCAGTGACACCCTTCCGGTGTCTAGTTTCCATGTCATACGAAAGAGAAACGAGGCCTGGGATACTGCCAGGTTGCCCAAGCATAGGCAGGGGAAGTCGAGAGGTATTGGTAAGGTTCGAAACACGGACGTTCCGGTCGGTAAGTTCGCGCTTTAACCACCTGAACCATGTCGCACCCGCCCGTAGCAGTACACTGCCGCGCTAACCGACAAAGTATCAGAATGAGTTATTGATACTGCTGCAATGTGGTTCAAGTCGAACGATCATGTTTTCTATAGAGGCCCTCTTGAGCGTCTAAAGCGAAATCCTGCATCATTAAATTGATTGGGGTAACGTCACGTGTTCCGACAGGCGTGGTCACACGATTGCATGTGAACCAGCTACTAAATCAAAATAAGGTTATCAGACTCGATCAGCCACTGAACTTACTGTACGAAACTTTGTGTGGGTCGTCGGAAGTTCTCAAACTTTCCGCTTCCGTTTCAGTGTCAACATCTTTGTTCTATGCTGAACATTGATTACAGCTGTTCAGCCAATGTAGAATTAATTTCGACTTGTCGTGCCCACAACCTCTTGTACAAACACGGTTTGCGTTGAGGGAGAGTGTGAGGCGTTGAAGATCCCTCAAATGATGCGGTCAAAGTCTCTTAGCTCCCTATGGTTGACAGGTACGGAGCTAACAGCTTCAAACGGAGATATCCTAGGATCAGAGGGACGTGTTACAAAGTGCTGATAAGCCATAAGTATGAAATGAGGAGCTTGTTAGTTCATTATAATCCTATGAATAATAGTGCACTAATTCTCATACGAGCAGGTACATAAGCCGAATGAGCCGATGAAAAGGAAACAATAGATGCAATGCAGCGAAATTTGATTCACCAGCAGTTTAACCGGACATTCCCTGAAACAAACTTTAGGGTAGGTTATTAGGAAAGTGCGAACCTCTGCGACCGCAAGTGAAGGTTACTGAGTTGCATAAATTACGCAAAACCACGCATGGCACACACGAAGCAGGTTCACCTATATGCACCTGGACCTCAAGTTCCTCCAGAAATTCCTGTTAGTTTCTGTGCGTTTAAAAGATCGAAAACCAAAGGAAGCCGTTTCCATGACTCGAATGCGCGTGATATGCAGCGCCAAGTTAGGCCCAGGTCAACTAGTGTGAAATCTTTGCGAAAGAATATGATTTTCAGTGATCCAGATAATACGATCAAACACTGACACGATATGAGGATTCGTGGCAGCAAAAGGCACGATTAAGGTATTTCTTCAAATTTGCATACCCTGAAAAGGCATAAGCAAGAAACCACGGGTTGCTAAATAGAGCTAGCTGCTTCACAAACATTTCCGGTTTGTATTATGAGGAGGATTAGTGGCGGGATACCTGATTTTTGATGAACGTAATGATCAGGGTTTCAGGAAATTTCCGCTTGTCAGACTGCGTCTCACAAAATTTCAGGCACTTCTCAAAACACATGGGAGCGTCTCGAACCGTTTTTGTACGTAAATTACCAGTACGGTACTGCTGTTAGAACTAGAAATAAAAAGCCCCAGATTTATTGAGAAGAACCACCTAGGGAAGTGTCAAAAATTTCGATTTCTCATGTTGAGTAGCAGCGGGAAAAACCAAGAAAAACGGTTGAACTGATGGTGTTCTATGCACTAATGTAACGAATCTAGTAAAACTTAACAATGAGTTTTCAGTGTGCATGAACATTTCGGAGCCCTTGCCACTTGACTTATCATCATCCTCATTATCAAAGCCAGAAACTAGTGCTTCACTGATGTACTACCACGTCGATTTGTTTCAATAATGCCTTAAAATTGAAAGAGGAAAGAATCTAGGGAGGGAAAGAACCTGGGGTTAGCGTACGGCAAACAACCGAGGTGCCCACATCTCCAGCACCGTCAGACAAACTGGATATAAACCGACAACATGAACGCCACTGGCATTGGTTAATCGTTACACCGTTTTGTCTTTAGTCTGGTACAAGTAAGGTCACGTGAACATCACTGGCACTAAGGGAGGCCAAACACGAATCTTTTTGGTTAGCAGAACGGATTTAGCGTAGGTGACTGCAAAAACACTTAATGTATGAACTTGCATCACCGCCAAACTTGAAAGAGGTAGAGGTATTAGATTAGGTAAGTGATACTATCCTAAAATGTGTTCATGACTTCAAAGAGGGCTGGATGAAACTGGACGAAACGGTATTTTTTTGCGTTTGAAGTGAGCTGCTTTATGGGGTACCAGCTTATTAGCCCTATTAGAATACTTTTAAAAGAAGCCCCTTTTCTTCACAGGATCTTGATAAAAGTGCTAGTGTGCGGCGGAAAATCTAGTATACGTGGTATAAAAACCTCAATTGTACGTCATAAAGGTACGTGGCTGACAAGTCCTAGGTGTGTGTGGACATCGTATAGTGACCGACTACACCAACAGTTGCACAAAAGACATAATTAGTCCTCTTCACAATCAGGACGAACCCAGGCTTATCATTCCGCTTATGGCAATAGACCATTATTTCATTGGTTTCTTATCGTGCATTGAAAATTAATCTTCTGTTACCCTCAAACTCATTTGTGGTGCACACCTATGACCAGCCATTGAGGAGGAATGAATGCTTTTTATGCTAATTGGAAGCTGAACTAGAGAAGATGGAATAAAAAACTTAGTTGTCTGAGTTGTGGAGTTTGACTCAGTCTAGTTGGAGCAGACAGTGGTGACGTGCAAATTAACAAGCTTTAGTAGACACGGTTCTTTGTGCTGGTCATAAAAGGACAACATTTAGAAGGTAATCAAATACCTGGAATGATACAAAACGAAGTAATTGAGGGCTACAGGAAAAGCTTGTAAATTTGATAAAAGGCATTGAGAGCAGTACAGGTTTCGCTCATCACTAATGTGGCAAGGCATTGAAATAAGAACATATGTGTAAATAACACCGTTGTGGTTATCTACTATAACAACAAATCAGAGTTTAAATTAAGAAAAACGAAGCAAAGCAGGCACTGGTTGCCATAAGAGGAAGCCGTTTTGAGTAAACATTCACTCTGTTTAGTGAAAGTGCAGATTATCTTCTGTTCTGTACTTCAAAATTAGAAAATTGACTAGACTTAAATATTTTACTGTGGTACAGTAAGGATAAACATGAAGGCACGAGTGTTTCACATCGACTTCAATACTACATTCGTAGAAACTTGGTACAGAAAATTAGGATACCTAAGCTGTTTGCCCAGGATTTGTGGTCCTAACAGTGCTGCGTTCAAATGTTTATTTTAAATAAAATACTATCCAATCCGTAAAAAAGAAAATTTTCTGAATAGAGTAAATGGATTTACATTATTTTACTTCCATGTATTTGCTGATCCACTGATTTCTCGCCTCGATCTTTAAATTTGACAGAGGGAAAAAATCTTGCAACGGTCTACAATTGTCCATTCTACGAAATTTCTACATCACTTAACCATCGTGTGGATGAACTGCTGGTGGGCATTGTAATAGCCATCCAAGAACGTCGGCGGGAGGTTGACAAAGAACGTGATCGATTGGAGAAGATGGCAATGAACACAAAGCACAGTTCACTTGGTGCGACAGCTCATCGGAGTTCTCTTGGTGCAATCAAATCGCAGACTAATAATGTTGTGAAATTTTTTCAGAAACACTTCAGTAAAAAAGACAAACGTTCCAATACATTATTATGACAAGGAAGGAGACTAAATACGTTCGATTACCAAAATGATATTTGACTAGTATGGCCTGAACCTCACTACTGGTTTGGAATCACTGGTTAAATTTGTGTGATACAATTCACTTTTCTCAACGATTGTCGAAAACCTCATGACAAGGATTGTAAGCAACTATGCTTCTAGTGGTTGTTGGCTGTCCCCAGATCAGTCTTCGATTGCTGGTTCCCGTTGTTTTTCATCTAGTTCTGTATTTCCTCAATTTTCCTAAATTAAATGGGGATTATGGATGGCATAATTAAACAGCAACATTACGGATTCCATTTTCCACCCGTGAGCATTTCAGCACATTTGTACAGGGTACTTGACTGTCATAAAATAAATTACTGAGTGAAAGCAAGGTTGTCTTTATTTTACAACAGATTGCGACGAAGCTTAAGATCACATAATTTGAATGAGTATAGTTTAGCCTGGGAGGTGGGTGAGATTTTGAATATGTAGTAGCTACAAAAATTTGAACTTGTTCAAGCTCACAGTATCCTAAACTTTCCTCGTCACGGTCATCATTGACACGGGGATAAATAAGCTTATTGTGGCCATCAAAGAAGCGAGACAGAACAATCACCTGGTGGAGTCGCAGGAAAACCTGGCTTGTCTATCCTTTGGATATGCTATGACTGACTAGAAACAGAGGATTGTTCAATCGTAGACTAGATCGGCGAACTATCAAGCAGTTATCTCACTGTGAGCCAGGAACTTCGAAAATACAGTGATCTGTCGTTACCTATTCGAAAATTGGTACCAGTTATGGAAACCAAAGTTAATAACAGAAATAAGTGAACAACAATACGACTGTGTTGAAAAACCAGAACAGACTTGGCGTTCTCTGGTCAAATTTGCATGTTTCCGTCCCGTTCCTCTTGGAAGTGAAGCGCCAACATCTATTATTCATATAGGCAAGTGAATTAGTGTGGAACGGAAGTGATTTTATAACTAACCACTATACACACATTGTCTGGAAATTTTTTCATCGCTAGAAATTGAGCATACAAGAAGCTTTCCAGGTAACAATTCAAAACTTTGTTTGTAGCTAGAAGTGGACAAGGTAACTTGTCACTTTAAGTTGTTTCCGTTTACAGCGAAATAGTGCGATTTAAAAAATGTACATCGCAACAATGAATTCACTTAGGATTCCAGTCCCAGAAACTATGAGAAGGTTGTGAAAATCGTTTTCGACGGAAACACCCGTTTTCTAACTGTTAGGTTAGAAAGACGGATATGGAATAAACTGTGAAAGTCTACTACTTCGTTACTGTATGGTGCTGCTTGGTGAAATTCATTCTGTGATTAGATGCAGTGCCGTGCTCTTTTGAGCTAAGCTTAGAGTAAAGATTCATTCTGTCTCACTGTAATAGGAGTCGTAAAAAAAGGTAGATCAGCCTTTCAGCAGGCAATTATGTCCACCTGTTCATTAGTTACTTCATCCATCAGATTCGTGTGAACATGGTATTCCAGTGCTTCATGTTTTAGTCTTCAGCCATCTTCTACAGTCGACTAGAGAGTAATGTACACAGATATTGTGTTTGCTACTTCGGCTTTAAACGGCACTGCTGAAATTTTATGAGCTGCACATGGATGGAGAGTTCTAAGGAACAAAGCTTCGGAGACTTCGTCTACTTATTGAGACACACTGATGGCTAGGCGGATGGCGGGCTTTCAACTGACATTCATCAAAATTATGGGCTATTCTCTACATGGATAACACACCACAATACCTCGGATATCATAGCGTATAAACCTTGATGCAGTTTTGTGCGAAACGGACAGTTAAAAACCACCAGCAACTGGAGATAAGCTCTCAGGTTGTCATTCGTGTAACCTGACAATCGGTGGATTTTGCTGTCGCACCAGATAACATCTTACCAAGTGCGAAATCACCTCCTTGAAAAAGTGAATTCATAAGGCTACAAATCAAAAAACAAAAAAATAAACGTTTTCGTGACCATATGTTGCAGAAATTCTCCCAAAAATTTTAGGCAGAGGTCTTTGGAGGTACACAAATAGATTGAGGGAGACCATTGAGTATTCCAACGTATTTTTGATTGCAGAATTTGGGGTATAAAATTTTCTACGAAAGCCAAGTGTGCAGGTCACGCAAAAAGGCCAAATAGTTTAAATAATTGTGGGTAGTGTGATGAAGAGTGTAGTAACCCACGAAAATTCTGCTACCAATCGGTTCTGTTTGGAATCATCAAGGAAGCACGCCTATAGAAATGAAATTTAAGAGCAGTTATAAAGTTAATTGTATACGTAATTTATTCGTACATTATATTAACAAAATCAGAGCTTCAAATTGTGTTTGGATCTAACTCGTGGGCTGAAGTTTGGAACTCAGAACGATTGTTGTTATAGGAAATGTGGGCCGAATCAATTTAATTGTTTGGTTTGAGCTGAGAGATTACGAAACGCTCACCTTGGGGCTTCAGATCATCCAAATATTTTGGAAAGACTATTCCCAAATGACAGTGACATTTTTTTCATCAGATTTTTTATTAATTCCCAAAGCTGCTTATTTGCACTCAGAATCAGACGGGGTGACTGGCTACTGAGAGGCAAATATGACAATCAGTAGTGTGTTAACTGATTGGTCAATGAATTGACTTTAAACGTTATTAGTAAGCTAGCTGTATGGGCTTTACACAGGTGAAATGCCCATGCAATTTTTTGAAAACATGAGTAGAGCTTAGTTGTCCAAACCATACCAGCTACGCGTGTCTATCAGCTGTCTTGTTCGTATCAGTCTACACCGTGTACAACCACTGCGAATTATCATTTTGTCGCTTTCACCAAACTGCTCATAAAGGATTTTAACAAAAATAGCGTTTTGTCTTTAAACCGGATCGAGTATTTATTGTTAAGGAGAATCCCTACACTCAACAATCCAGATCTATTTTTACTAGTAATCTATGTTGTATTAATTTTCACGATGTCCTATCTTAACGCGCACAGTTATGGACCGTGCTATTTTATAGCGGAATAAATAAAAAGGTTTAATTGCGCGTTAGAATCTCCTCAGACCTATGTGTAATTTATTCCAGCCCTGTGTTACTGCATAAAAATTTTTTCACTTCAACAAATGTAATTCACTTCATGCATTTATAATTTAAACTTTGAGCAAGGCAAAGGAATGGTTTGCTAACAAAGTATTCCTCACTGAATTATTTCACCGTAATACCTAATAATTTATGCATTTATAATTTAAACTTTGAGACAAGGCAAAGAATGGTTTGCTAACAAAGCATTCCTCACTGAATTATTTCACCGTAATACCTAATAAATCTAGATTTTCTAGGCTACATGAGAAACTCTGTTTTTACTTTTCAACTAATTCCCGCTTCACATTTATACACTGGAGTGAATTTCTTACTGAACCGAATTTTTCAGAAACGCACTGTAAAATAGGCAAAGTTTTGTAAAATCCACAAATTCAAAACACCGTCTACTATAGCTACTCTGATATATTACCAAAAAATAAGTTTAATAAAGCATCTGTTACACATATTCTGTTACATGTGTTGCATCTGTTACAAATATTCAGGCTCAACAAGTGTTTTTTTCAAGAGGCTGAAAATAGTTGTCTCAAAATCAGATTGGTGGGACCTATTAAATGGTGTCCACTGATAGGTGTTTGCTTTCAATCTGAAGCCATTCGATTCATATCCTAAGAACTAGTAAGGACACCAATATGAAAGCCATTATTCTGCTTTCACCGTTGCGCATCCCAGTCTACAAACTATATGACAGCGATTTTTAAAGACACAAAATGGTTTGCTTCAGTTGAACGAAAGTTTTGCTTAGATTCCGGATATGGCTCAGTGCAGCGAGAAACCGTGTTTTAGGTGGAGCGAAAAGCAAAACGGACTGTAAAACTTGCCATATTTATTCATACATCGAGTTTGAAGATTTTAACGTTGTATGCTTATGGTAGTTGGCGGAAAATCAAAACGCAAAAGTATTTTGTCGCTTCGTGGTGTAAGAATCAGCCTAAAGTTTTTTGTACAGCTGCTCAACACATTCACTCATGCAGTAACAATGAAATTGGCTTCATCTTTGTACATCCCATTATTGGTCTGCTGAAACCCGGCATTAACCCATTTGACCAGAGGACATCTCTGTACAAGTTATTTCAGGTTTGGTTGTGGTTACGAGCCACAATTGCACCAGACTAATAACCACGCTAAGAATCCACTCAGCATGCAACACAACTGAAAATAAAACTTTCGACATGGTTATTCCCATTAGAAAATAAGTGAATTGTTTCTCGTCAATGTAAAAAACTCTTTATAATTGTGGGGACAAAAATGTTTGCTGCGCGTGGTAGCACAAGTTTTATCCAATAAGGAGCAAGGTCTTGCAAAATTGTTTTGTAAATGTCGTAAGGAAGTCAATTCGTAAGCCTCATGACATAAATTCACTATGCATTTCTTTATTAGTAAACCAAACAAGCTGCAGTGTTTCCAGCTTGTTGTGAACAAACATAGCCGATCACCTGTTTGAACTTTTTCCATAAAATGTCACAGTTAATGACTTTTTAAGCTTTTCTTGGAGTGCGCCAGGAACTGCTGATGAAAATTTATCTCCACGACTAAATAAAAAACTAAGGAGGCCTTACTTTGTGAAATAGTTTGAAAGAAATAGCCTGAATTAGTGGCAGCTTACCTGTAAAGAATACCATGTGGGTTTGTAGGATCACTTTGAATATAAGGTTTTCAAAGTAAGCAAAACATTATGCCACCCGCAAAATAGTCTGTCAACTTTTAATTTTTATGTATACAGACACCAGCTTCCTCCGCAATGCCAGTTTGGCTTGCACACATAAAATTCTGTCCACAGCAAAGCCCAATTATTCACCAGGTCGTTGTATCAATACTGAGGACAACGAAAAATTCTGAGATCGTCTTATATCCCTGTTTAATTTTCGGCTGCGGATGAACCACAGACTAGGAGCACTTCATTATATGTCTTGTACAACCATATCATGCATCACACCTGTGCTACTGCTGCGTCAACCACCTTTGTGGGTCTGATCTTTACTCCACCGTTACCAGCTCAAACCTATCTGAGATATCAGAGAACACAATTTAAGTAATTTTGTAATCTCTAGATGAGAATGAAAAAACCAAAACAGCAACAAGTTTGCACGAAAAAAACCCCTCGCGCCGCAGAAACACAGACTGGAAAGAATGAACACATACCCCCGGTTCGCTGACGGGTAAACACTTGTGAAGCCGGGTAACGAGAGTGAGTGCAGCGGAGGTTATTCTGTGTTGGCCGGCATTGTTGAAT